AAAAAAAAAGAGCGGACGCAAAACACAGGGGGATAAAGTGGCGGTGCAAGGCATATGGGTGCGAAAGACACCGGTCATGAGTTGTTGTTATGATCATCAACGAAGTCCGGGAGCATGCCTCAGTTTTTTTTTCTTTATGTGCCCCTTCTCTTTCTTCGGTTGTACTTCGCTTTTCTACCATTGCCCCCACAGCAGTATGTTTTTTTTTTTTGCGTGGCGAAAAGAGGAAGTGCAGCCGCACGCTCAGGCACGCAAAAAGGCGGCACACCGGCAGAAGTGCTGCGGTTACACAAGGAAACCTGTGCGCGAAAGCAAAGACGTGCGTCTGTGCGTTCTCGTTGGCGAGCTGAGTGAGGGTGATAATTCCCCTGCCAGATGCTTATGAAAGCCTCAAACGTTTTTGCATTTGGTTTTCCTCTTTGTGCTTTTCCGTGAGTTTTTTTCCCCCCCGCTTCTCCATGTTTGCTTCCTCCTTTTTTCTGCTCAAGAGGTGAGGCGCTACTGTTTCTGCTCTTCTTATGTGTTTTCCTTTTTTTGTTTTTTCCCCCTCCCTCCCCATGTGGTTCCGTTTCTGATTCTTGTGGACTCCGGCTGTTGTCTTTTTGTCCCTGTACTCGAGGAAGAGCTTGTTGTGGTTTGTTCTGTGGGCCTCTCTCTCTCTTCCTTTGTGTGTGTGCGTGTGTGTGGTGTCCTCGTGGGGGAGTTGTTGGCCCCATTTGCGCGGCACAGTGCAAACGAAGTGGTGCAGCATCGAGGTGCCTCCTCTGCACGCGTGCATGATGTTCTAAAGCTGGTGAGCTCTGTGGGGGGATGGGTGATCCCTGCGCCGCCGTATTTCCCGATTGCACACTCGTTCTCCGCTTGTGGTGGTGTCTGCCGTTTGCATTCGTGCCAAGCCGCACTTCCTCCGTCTGGGCTCGTTGTCTGTGGGGGAATCAGGTGCTGCCTTGCGCGTCTGCGAGAGGGGCTGAGAAGGTTGCAGCAGTTGGAGGTAAAAAAACATGTGAAGCTGTGGACACGGCCGTGTGGACGGGAGAGAAGAACGCCAAATTGTGGCACCCTGTGCCTGTGTGTGGGGTGCAGCACAAGCCCGTAGTGGGTGAGTGACGCAGAGGACCTGCGGGGCTTTTATTGCGCGGCGGAAACACACGTGAAACCCGCCGCAGGCTTCCCTCATTGAAGACAACAACAACAAACAAAGGAGGATGTGTGTGAGTGATCCAAAGAAAACCGCTTTTTGTGGGGGCTGCAACCCAATATGAAAGACGGATTGATTATGTTTATTTTTGTTTTGTCGCCCCCC